GAAATTGCGTAGCGGCGGCGCAGCAGCAGCAGCAGGAGGCCCCCATTAGCTGAAGTGGTGCTTCAGGTTAAGAACAGTTTCAGGTTAAGAATGGCCCTCCGGAATGAATTAAGTACTTAACCTGACGTACCACTGTATACGGTTGCCACTTTTCAAAAAGTAAGAATGCGTTATCGAGCTTTTTTTTAGGAAGACCCCAAAAATGTTGAGCCATGTTATCTTCAGTTGTGTTCATGTAGAGTAACTCTGAAGCACCGTCCCCATTCCTTCTTCATGCAGGGAAGCTCTCTTTGATGTAACTTGATGGTACTGATGTATTAAATCATCTTCTCACCAATGGCTGACCTAAGGCATCATCAGTGTCGGTCCACTGCAATATTTGCCCCATATCACATTCAATCCGTAATACAGTTCAATCCATTATACATAGTTCTCAGGGTCTACTTACTCTGCCTGGTGTTTAACACCCACCCAATACTGAATTGGATTAGGGTCATTAGTTATGAGCTTCCTTGGCAAATGTTAAAAAATGAAAGCAATTTAAAAATCTAAATAGTATTGCAAAAGTTGGGTGCCCCTCTCTCTGCTGAGTGGTGGCACACCCCAGGTCTTTGTTCCTTTGGAGACATGGCGGAGACTGTCATAGTTTTAAGAAATATGGTTTATTCACCTATTTACACCTTCAGCCTACATGGAGGGAGTCCAGATCTTACAGCACGGTCATTTCAAGAGGGGCTTGTTTGCCACAGCAGTGCAGCCCGCCTTCAGCCAGCCAGCCCAAGATGGATCCCAGTCTTTTTCTTCCTTCTTCTTCTTCCCAGCAACGTTTGCTCAACATCTTGTCACCACTCCTGATGCTGTGGCCCCTGACTGGCTGCTTGGGTGGCCACACACCTTACTTTATGGAGGACAGTCCTCTGTTTGAAAGGCTGATAGGTCTTCATCCAGTTAAAAGATGAAACCACAAGAAGGGAGAGCAGGGACAGCCCAACCATTAGGCAGATGAGGACACCACTACTGTTCAAGAAAGACTCAACTCAGCTTCTATACATAGAATGGTGGGAAGAGCACATGTCTTAGACCAGGCCTCAGAAGGGGCCTTAATGGAGTTGCCTACCAGCTGTTATTAGAGAGTGGACTGCCAGCTGGACCAAGCAGATAACTAATGCCTCTCTTAGAGCAGGAGTGCTCCCAGGCCTTTGAAATAATCAGGCAGTAAGACTACTTCTTTAAAAAATCCTTCTTGGACCAGAAGACTTGGCAGGGCAGGGAGGACACACTATAGGCTGGTCGCAAATGGTCCCAAGGTTCCTGAGTGAGTAGTTGCTAACCAGCTATTGACATTCTTGAATAAGACTGATTTTCTAAGCATTTTAATCAGCATACAGGTATGATTGGTACTGAGACTGCCTGGGTCACCCTATATGATGAGCTATGTTGGGGGAGGAGTGTGTCTCTGGTGGCCCTCCCCCCAAAAAGCTCAACAACTTTTCTGTCCGGATTTTCACTGTATGAAATATGGCAAACCTATTCTGGGAGATAATCTGAGTTGGGAGTAGGAGATACGGCTTTGCAGTCACCTCCTGGAGGTGGTCCTTGAGAGCTACTGCATGGCCCTGTGGAGCTCCAGTGTTATTCTCTGGGCTGTTTCACGTATACATGAAACCACTGACTAGGGTCATTTGACATTTGGGGGTATGACATAGCAGCCAACTCCAGGCATTGTGGCGGTGGGCACCCACAATCCTGAGGGCGAGACGGCGCCCCTAGAGTGTGATGTCAACAGTTTGATGTTGACATGCTACTCTGCTTCTCCTTTACAGCCCAAGCAAGTATAGTGGTGGATGTTCCAGATTAGTGCCTGGTCCTGGTGATGGACTGGATGAGAGTCAACAAACTGAAGGTCAATCCAGATAAGACAAAGTCATTGTTACTGGTCAGTTCTGCTGTCTAGATGAGTGGATTGTGTTCAGTTCTGGATGGATTACACTCCTCTTGAAGGAGTGCATTTAAAGCACGTTCATTCCCTCAATGAATTCTGGGCACTGTAGTTCAACCCTCAAAGAATTACATTTCCCAGAAATCCTTAACCAAGTGCCCAGAATTCTTTTAGGGAAGTAATGTGTTTTGAACGTGCGTTATAGGTATAGAGCAGAGCCACAAAACTACACACCACACAACTACACACTGCGGCCAACACACTAGCGTGTCACAACACACAGTTTGGAAAGCTCTGTTATAGAGTGTAGGCAGCTTAAATTACAAGCTATGTACAGTTTATGAATAGTTCTTTTAAAAAAACTACCCACAAATATTTTGAGGGGAAAACTCTCTATCATCTATCTATCTATCTATCTATCTATCTATCTATCTATCTATCTATATCTATCTATCTATTCTATCTATCTATTCTATCTATCTATCATCTATCTCTATCATCTATCTATCTATCTATCTATCTATCTATCTATCATCTATCTATCTATCTATTAATCTATCTATCTATCTATCTATCTATCTATCTATCATCTATCTATCTATCTCTATCATCTATCTATCTATCATCTATCTATCTATCATCTATCTATCTATCTATCATCTATCTATCTATCTATCTATCATCTATCTATCTATCTATCTATCTATCATCTATCTATCTATCATCTATCTATCTATCTATCTATCTATCTATCTATCTATCATCTATCTATATCTATCTATCTATCTATCTATCTATCTATCTATCTATCTATCTATCTATCTATCTATCTATCTATCTATCTATCTATCTCTATCTATCTATCTATCTATATCTATCCCACCCCCAATGTTACTTTACACTTCCTCTTAGAACATAGTACATTGTACAGTGGTACCTCGGGTTACAGATGCTTCAGGTTACAGACTCCCGTAACCCAGAAATAGTACCTCGGGTTAAGAACTTTGCTTCAGGATGAGAACAGAAAGCGTGCTCCCTGTGGCGCAGCGGCAGTGGGAGGCCCATTAGCTAAAGTGGTTAAGAACAGTTTCAGGTTAAGAACGGACCTCCAAAACGAGTTAAGTTCTTAACCCGAGGTACCACTGTATGCTCTTTTACTTTCAACAAATGTATGAGATAGGTTAGGTTGAAAAAGAGTAATTTGATGAAAGACTCTCTGTTAGTTTCATGGCTAAGATAGTGTTTATTATATTTGTGAGTCGAGGACCCGCCACCCGCTTAGAGAAAAAAAGACACAAGGAAACATGTATTTTAGGTTAATGGGCTAAATATGGCCACAACTTTATTGGTTACAGCATGTGAGTGGTATTGTTGTTGTATTTTTTGAAAATAACCTTTATTGGTTTTATGATTACATACTATACATATACACATTAATTTACATTTACATTTACATTTACTCCTAAGAGCTGACTTCCCTTCTTCCGGCTTTTTAATGTCATCTCTAAGTTTTTGGCATTATCTTTATCGATTTTATATATTGTTGTTCTTTCAACTTTATCCGTACAGTGTCTATATACAAATAAATATTTCTGTATGTACACGTCTTGTTTGTCTATATTCATTTACAGGTACAATTAGTTACCTTCATTGTATTTTACGTTTTAATTCATATTGTCATTAACATCCAATAAAGTTTCTTTTAATTCCCATTATGAGGTTTACTTCCATTCTACTGATTTCACTATTTTCCCCTTATCCTATGTATAACATAAATTTCCCCCATTCTTTTTGAAATGTTTCATCGCCCTGTTGTCGAATTTCCCCCGTTAATTTGGCTATTTCCACATATTCCATGACCTTGTGCTGCCACTCTTCTACTGTTGGCAATTGTTGTTGTTTCCACACCAGAGCCAGCAGTAACCTCACCGCTATTGTTGCGTATAGGAACAATTTCTAATCTTTCTTATCAATATCCTCTCCCACCATTCCCATTTGTTGATGCAAATACAACTGGAAGCTTCCCCTGATGTCACCGGGGTCGTGCCATGGCCCTAGCGACCAGCAGGGCATCAGATAGGATCCACAACCGCTGGATCCCTTTAATGGAATACCCAAAAGGTGAGGGGTAGGTGATGGCCACAACCTGCCCTCCAACACACCACACATATTCCAATGCCTAACCGCCAACACCAGAAAAGTTGTGACGATTTGCTATGAGGTAGGCGAAAAACCAAGAGGCTGGTGCCAATTTGCCAAATGGAAAAAAATTCCTACCAGGCCCCCTGGGCAACCAAGGCAAAGGCATTTGTCCTTTTTCCAAGCATTCATTGATTTATCTTTATAAACATTTATGCACATGGATCTTCTTACATAAGTTGTGTCGTAGCTTTTAGATAATCGAGCACTGATACAGAATTCTTTCCATTATGTAGACACCAGTCATGTCTAGCTGGAGTGCGAAAGATGATGTGGAATAAGGCCAGGATCACAGCAGCAGATCAGCTGATCTTTTCCTCCTTGGATGCTAAGATAAAGTGGAATGCATGCTCCTCTTAAACAGGATTATAATGTAAACCTATAGAGCAGGCATCCTCAAACTCGGCCCTCCAGATGTTTTGGGACTACAGTTCCCATCATCCCTGACCACTGGTATTGTTAGCTAAGGATGATGGGAGTTGTAGTCCCAAACCATCTGGAGGGCCGAGTTTGAGGATGCCTGCTGTAGAGAGACAGCATATGCATGACTTTACCCTACATTTACCTTCCTCTCCAGGCAGACTTTTCAGATATTTGTCCCTAAACTCTGTATTCTCCTCTGTCCTTTTTCCATATTTTCAGCGCTTTTCCATCCAGCTGTCATTTTGTATTCTCCAACTGGTGGGACTGTGCAATCTGATTACACTTGCCCCCCCTGCATCTGGAGGGACCACCGTTGGCCACAGGCCATCTGCTCAAACATTATGTTTTACAAGCCATTGGAGTCCTCCAAGTAAAGTAATGCACAGAGCATCTCACACCTTGTCACCACGGGCAACTAACCCTAACCCTCAATAACATGTCATGCTCCGTGAGAGGGTTTGCACCTCTGTAGCGCTTTCACCAATGCCCCCTTTACTTCCTTATTCCTTAGACTATAAATCATGGGGTTGAACATGGGAGTGACAACGCTATAGAACAAGGAGATCATTTTGTCGTGCTCTGCAGAGTGGCTTGAACCAGGCCTCATGTACATGAACATAGCAGTTCCATAAAACAGTGCCACCACAGCCATGTGGGACGCACATGTGGAGAAAGCCTTGCGCCTGCCTTCGGCAGAACGGATCTTCAAGATGGCTGCTAGGAATGCGGACGTATGTGGTGAGTATGAAGGAGAAGGGGCACAGAAGAATGAGGACGCCAACCACAAAGACAATGATTTCGTTGAGTCGAGTGTCAGCACAGACCAGTTTCAGCAGAGCCAATATGTCACAGTAGAAGTGGTCAATGACATTTGGGCCACAGTAAGGCATCTGCAGAGTCTGAACTGTGTGCACCATGGCAAGGAGGAAGCCACACATCCAAGATGACACCGCCAACATGACACAAACTCTAGGGTTCATAATGAGTGTGTAGCGCAGAGGGTGACATATTGCTACAAAGCGGTCGTAGGCCATCACGGCAAGGAGCACGCATTCCGTGATGGCAAGGCCCAGGAAGAGGTAGATCTGAGCCCCACAGCCAGCAAATGAGATGGTCTTCTTTGGACTCCAGAGATTGGACAGCATCTGAGGAACAGTACTGGTTGTGTACCAGATGTCCACAAAAGAGAGGTGGCTCAAGAAAAAATACATGGGTGTGTGGAGTTGAGAATCCAGCCAAATAAGCATCAAGAAAATCCCATTGCCAGCTAGTGTGATGCTGTAGACCACAGAGAAAATCCCAAAGAGAACAATGCGCATCTTTGGGCTGCTGGAAAGACCCAAGAGGATAAATTCTGTCACTTCGGTTTGATTCCTCATCTTTTCCTGACACTGCAGAGGAGGAAACAGGCACCATGTAAAATATAACAGCATACAGCAGGGGTCCCCAGCCCTTGTGGGCCTCAGGAAACATTTGGGAATCTAAGATGTCATTGTGGGCACTGCAAAATACAATTTCATAGAAGAAGAATTGGCCATGTTCAGACCCAGAGCCAGTGTGGTGTAGTGGTTAAGAGCGGTAGACTCGTAATCTGGGGAACCGGGTTCGCGTCTCCGCTCCTCCACATGCAGCTGCTGGGTGACCTTGGGCCAGTCACACTTCTTCAGTCTCTCAGCCCCACTCACCTCACAGAGTGTTTGTTGTGGGGGAGGAAGGGAAAGGAGAATGTTAGCCACTTTGAGACTCCTTAAAGGGAGTGAAAGGTGGGATATCAAATCCAAACTCTTTTTCTTCTTCTTCTACCCCCCACCCAAAACAGGCAAAAATAAAAATAAATCCTGTGTCTAGGATGGAAATCTAAGGAAAACAGAAACAGAACTCCAACCTGCGGGGGGTGGGGTGGGTCGAAATCCAAATAAATATGATCTAAACATGTTCTGGAGCATCACATCAACATTCCGAATCATTGCTGTAGCATCGAAGAGATGCTACAGCAAATGTTGTCTACCAGAAATTTAATAAATGAACTCAGCATGGAGTAATAATGCCTCCCTCATATTCCACCAGGCAAATGTATGGTCTGCCTCTACTACAGGCTATACATCAAGTTAAAAGAAGATACCTCACTTACTCTTCCCCTTCATGGATCACTGCCTTGCCGTGGCGAAGGGGCTTAAATAACTCAGAGAAGCTATGAGCTATGCCGTGCAGGGCCACCCAAGATGGACAGGTCATAGTGGAGAGTTTTGACCAAACGTGATCCACCTGGAGCAGGAACCGGCAAGCCACTCCAGTATCCCTGCCAAGAAAACTCCATGGACAAAGACAACAGGCATATAAAAGTTATGACACTGGAAGATGAGCCCCTCAGGTCGGAAGGCATCAACATGCTACTGAGGAAGAGCGAAGGACAAGTATAAGTAGATTCAAAGCTGATGAAGCAGCTGGGCCAAAGCTGAAAGGTCGCTCAGTTGCGGATATGCCTGGAAGCGAAAGGAAAGTCCAATGCTGTAAAGAAAAATATTGCATAGGAACCTGGAATGTAAGAACCATGAACCTGGGTAAGTTGGATGTGGTCAAAAATGAGATGGCAAGAATAAATATTGACATCCTGGGCATCAGTGAACTAAAATGGATGGGAATGGGCGAATTCAGTTCGGATGACCATCATATCTACTACTGTGGGCAAGAATCCCGTAAAAGAAATGGAGTGGTCATAGTCAACAAAAGAGTGGCGAAAGCTGTACTGGGATGCAATCTCAAAAATGATAGAATGATCTCGATACGAATCTAAGGCAGACCTTTTAACATCAGTGTAATTCAACTTTATGCACCAACTAGTGGGGCTGAAGAAACTAAAATTGACCAATTCTATGAAGACTTACAACACCTTCTAGAAATGACACCAAAGAAGGATGTTCCTCTCATTATAGGGGATTGGAATGCTAAAGTAGGGAATCAAGAGATAAAAGGAACAACTGGCAAGTTTGGCCTTGGAGATCAAAACGAAGCAGGGCAAAGGCTAATAGAGTTCTGTCAAGAGAACAAGCTGGTCATCACAAACACGCTTTTCCAACAACACAAGAGACGACTCTACACATGGACATCACCAGATGGGCAGCATCGAAATCAGATTGATTATATTCTCTGCAGCCAAAGATGGAAAAGCTCTATACAGTCAGCAAAAACAATACCTGGAGCTCACTGTGGCTCAGATCATCAGCTTCTTATAGCAAAATTCAAGCTTACTGAAGAAAGTAGGAAAAACCACTGGGCCGGTAAGATACAATCTAAATCAAATCCCTTATGAATACACAGTGGAAGTGAGGAACAGGTTTAAGGATTTAGATTTGCTGGACAGAGTGCCTTAAGAACTATGGATGGAGGCTTGCAACATTATACAGGAGGCAGCAACGAAAACCATCCCAATGAAAAGGAAATGCAAGAAAGCAAAGTGGCTGTCCAACGAGGCCTTACAAATAGCGGGGGAGAGAAGGCAAGTAAAATGTGAGGGAGATAGTGAAAGATACAGGAGATTGAATGCAGATTTCCAAAAAATAGCAAGGAGAGACAAGAAGGCCTTCTTAAACGAGAAATGCAAAGAAATAGAGGGGGGGAATGGGAAGAACCAGAAAATTCAAGATATGAAAGGAACATTTTGTACAAAGATTACCATTATAAAGGACAAAAGTGATAAGGACCTAAGAGAAGCAGAAGACATAAAGAAGAGGTGGTAAGAATACACAGAGGAATTATACCAGAAAGATATGGATGGCTCGTACACCCCAGGTAGTGTGGTTGCTGACCTTGAGCCAGACATCCTGGAGAGTGAAGTCAAATGGGCCTTAGAAAGCACTGCAAATAACAAGGCCAGTGGAAGTGATGGTATTCCAGCTGAACTATTTAAAATTATAAAAGATGATGCTGTTGAGGTGCTACACTCAATATGCCAGCAAGTTTGGAAAACTCAGCAGTGGCCAGAGGACTGGAGAAGATCAGTCTACATCCCAATTCCAAAGAAGGGCAGTGCCAAAGAATGCTCCAACTACCGCACAATTGCACTCATTTCACACGCTAGCAAGGTTATGCTTAAAATTCTACAAAGAAGGCTCAAGCAGTATGTGGACCGAGAACTCCCAGAAGTGCAAGCTGGATTTAGAAGAGGCAGAGGAAGCAGAGACCAAATTGCAAACATGCTCTGGATTATGGAGAAAGCTAGAAAGTTCCAGAAAGACATCTACTTCTGCTTCATTAACTATGCAAAAGCCTTTGACTGTGTCAACCACAGCAAACTATGGCAAGTTCTTAAAGAAATGGGAGTGCCTGATCACCTCATCTGGCTCCTGAGAAATCTCTATGTGGGACAAGAAGCTACAGTTAGAACTGGATGTGGAACAACTGATTGGTTCAAAATTGGGAAAGGAGTACGGCAAGGCTGTATATTGTCTCCCTGCTTATTTAACTTATATGAAGAATTCATCATGCGAAAGGCAGGGCTGGATGAATCCCTAGCCAGAATTAAGATTGCCGGAAGAAATACCAACAAGCTCAGATATGCAGATGACACAACCTTGATGGCAGAAAGTGAGGAGGAATTAGGAGAAAGAGGAGAGTGCAAAATATGGTCTGAAGCTCAACATCAAAAAAACGAAGATCATGGCCACTGGTCCCATCACCTCCTGGCAAATAGAAGGGGAAGAAATGGAGGCAGTGAGAGATTTTACTTTCTTGGGCTCCATGATCACTGCAGATGGTGACAGCAGCCACGAAATTAAAAGATGCCTGCTTCTTGGGAGAAAAGCAATGACAAACCTAGACAGCATCTTAAAAAGCAGAGACATCACCTTGCCAACAAAGGTCTGTATAGTTAAAGCTATGGTTTTCCCAGTAGTGATGTATGGAAGTGAGAGCTGGACCATAAGGAAGGCTGATCGCCAAAGAATTGATGCTTTTGAATTATGGTGCTGGAGGAGACTCTTGAGAGTCCCATGGACAGCAAGAAGATCAGACCTCTCCATTCTTAAGGAAATCAGCCCTGAGTGCTCACTGGAATGACAGATTGTGAAGCTGAGGCTCCAAGACTTTGGCCACCTCATGAGAAGAGAAGACTCCCTGGAAAAGACCCTGATGTTGGGAAAGATGAAGCACAAGGAGAAGGGGACGACAGGACAAGATGGGTGGACAGTGTTCTCGAAGCTACCAGCATGAGTTTGACCAAACAGTGGAAGGCAGTGGAAGATAGGAGTGCCTGGCATGCTCTGGTCCATGGGGTCACGAAGAGTCGGACACCACTAAATGACTAAACAACAACAACACTTACTCTTTTACAGACAGGAGGTGAGGTCTGTTTTAAGGCATATTGGTAGAGATATACAATAAAATTGACATAATCCAGAATTGTCTCTGGACAGAGGAGTTGCAGCTGAAACCAAATGGGAGCTGCAGAAGAATAAGATTCTGACACTGTGTTAAAGTAACACTCACAAATTAGCAGCTGAGCTAAAATTGCTTAAGGCACTATCATTATACTGGAAAAGTAAAACACATACCGACTTGAATGAATGAGAAACAGCAATCCACTAGCCTATCTATAGTTCAAACAGCTACATCCTATTCTTGATTAGGTCGGTTTTGTAGAAGACCTTGGATGGGAAACTGAAAGCCATTGGTCTCAAGCCATCCCGAGGCTATAGTAAGTTTTATGAAGAATGCAGCACACAGAAAGAGGTGTTTTCAGTTATTCACATTTTTTAAATGAAAGGTAAACTTTGGCTTTCTCATTACGTACCCAGATTACAGAGGCTTGAAAGAAATTGCCAAATTGTTTCCCCTTCTTGGATTTGTACTATTGATGGCATCCATCAAGACCATAGAACGCCTCTGCCTCGAAATTACTCTGGCAATTATGAACCTAGAAAAGCATGTCAGCAGTGGCTCCTAAAACAGTATGTATGTTTACATTTCCTTCTGGGCCCATCCAAATGGGGACTAGGAACAAATTAAGAAATTAATCCACAGGGGCAGGAAGAAGAACATGACTAGATTGCGTCTACAGAGGGCTTTGCCAACATTTCTGAGGGATTTCTTGTTCCTGATTTTTGATGTAAACATCCTACTGCTTTAAAGACGCCTCAGAGATCCCATTCCAAACTAAATTTCTGATAAAACTTTCGAATTCCCTGGGCATTGTGTAATAGACTTTAGTCTAATCTAAACCAACATTTGAAGCAAATGTGGTGGTAGCTGGTTGCCAACTGAGAAGTTAAGGAGTATTTGTTGTTGTTTAGTCGTCTTAGTGGTGTTCGACTTTCTGTGACCCCATGAACCCGAGCATATCTTGGAAACTCTCACTTTCTTCTCAGAGCTTCTCCTTTTTATG